ATATACACCATGGAATATTACTCAGCCATTAAAAAGAATTCATTTGAATCAGTTCTAATGAGATGGATGAAACTGGAGTCCATTATACAGAGTGAAGTAAGCCAGAAAGATAAAGAGCAATACAGTATACTAATGCATATATATGGAATTTAGAAAGGTGGTAACGATAACCCTATATGCAAAACAGAAAAAGAGACACAGATGTACAGAACAGACTTGTGGACTCTGTGGGAGAAGGCAAGGGTGGGATGTTTTGAGAGAACAGCATTGAAACATGTATATTGTATTATCAAGGGTGAAACAGACCACCAGCCCAGGTTGTATGCATGAGACAAGTGCTTGGGGCTGGTGCACTGGGAAGACCCAGAGGGATGGGGTGGGGATGGAGGCAGGAGGGGGGATCAGGATGGGGAATACATGTAAATCCATGGCTGATTCATGTCATTATATGGCAAAAACCACTACAATATTGTAAAGTAATTAGCCTCTAACTAATAAAAATAAATGGAAAAAAATTTAAAAAAAGAAAAAAGAGAAATCACAATGGTGGTCACCTGGGGGAAGAAGGGGGAGTGTGGTTCAGAAGAGGAGTGTGAAGGGTTCTAGGATGCTGTCCCTGTGCTGTTTATTGGACCAAATGCTAGTTACCCAAGTGTATTCAACTGGTGACAATAAAAAAAAATAGTTGCTACATAGTTTTTAATAGCAGATATGACTGGAATAAAACATAGTGACATGGGTGTCTTTTGTTATAAGTTGGATCAATATAATTCTTTGCTGTTTCAGTTCATACTCATAAACAATAACTGTGCATAGGAAGCAATGAATCCATTTGTGCAATGGAGTAATGGTCTCTAGTAGTCCAATAGCTTGGATTTTTGCAATGAAATTTTAATTTACGTCACAACCATCAAAGGACTCTTAGCTTTAGAGAGTGTTAGGCATCGTCTGCCTCAAGATTGGTAAACATATCTCATCTCAAATGTCAACCAATAAACTACTGAACAGTCTGTGTTAGAAGGGATTGTAACCCAGACTTATCAGGGAAGAGGATTATAACTGGTTAGTTTATATCTGACGTAGATAAATGGTGTTAGTTGCTCAGTTGTGTTTAACTATTTGTGACCCTATGGGCCATAGCCCACCAGGCTCCTCTGTTCATGGAATTCTCCAGGCAAGAATACTAGAGTGGGTAGCCATTCTCTTTTCCAGAGGATCTTCCCAACCCAGGGATCAAACCTGCATCTCCTGCATAGCAGGCGGCTTCTTTACCATCTGAACAACCAGGGAAGCATAGGTACAAATGTAAAAACACCAGCAAGTATACTCTTTATTTGTCAAACAAGATCTAGTCCAAATCAGATCTGAGAGTATGTGAATTTTTTAACATAAAATGGTAGGGAATTCCATAAACTTCTATTATAGTGGATTTTATTTTGTGATGTGTTTTCTTCAATATTTTAAAGGAGAGTGTGTCTTTGTTCACAGGCTAGAGTTGAAAGTGAAACAGCTAAATAGGCCAGAATATTTGCAAATATTTTCATTATTCTGAGAAGAGGGACTCATGATACATTCTTCTTATTAGAATTCACACCCTTTGTATGTCTGTATGTTGTGCATTATTGTGGGAGGATTAATAAGGAAAAATAACCATCTTTATGGTAAATACGTTCAATGAAAAAAAGGCAGAATCCTATAATGGATTGAGATCTCATTGATACACACCCAGCAGCTGCTGAGTTTCCTTGTTTGCTGAGGAAGGAACGTACCTGATAGATACTCAGAGTGTAGACCTGTCACACTGCCCATCTTAGCTGAAGTCTTCATGACTATACACAGCATTGTGGTCATTTAAAGAGATTTAAGGTGTGGCCATTCCAAAGCCAGTCAAGGTCTAGAACTTTTATGGGCTTCCCAATGGTTCAGTGGTAAAGAACCCATCTGCAATGCATAAGATGGAAGAGACTCAGGCTCTATCCTTGGGTGGAGAAGATCCCCTGGAGCAGGGAATGGCAACGCAGTATTTTTGCCTGGAAAGTCCCATGGACAGAGACAGCCTGGCAGGCTACATTCCACGGGCTCGCAAAGAGTCAGACACGACTGAGCACAAACACAGAGCTCTTATAGACAGGAGGAGGGCGCTCATGCAGAAACAGCACAGACAGCTCTGACGGTCATCTTCAGGTTGGTGGTCGGTGGTCGGTGGTCTAACCAGCATCATCTGGCTCTTTGAGTGCAGTCAGCCTTCAGTTCCAGGACTGGTTTGCCCCCATTTCCTCGAGGCCAGTCCTGAGACTTGTGGCAGCCTGTGTCACGGCTGCAGTCCGCTCATCGTGGAGTTAACTTCTCCACCTGGCCGGGGTCTCCATTTCTGCCCAAGAGCTCACAGGACACGGCTCACAGTTTTATCTTCAGCCCTGGAGGAGGAACTGTTAAAGGCCCTGACTTGTGACTAAACTATTTTTATTTTGTCTTGTTGGACTGCTTTCTTTGGTTCTGCATTTTCTCACTTCTCTGATTAAATTCATTGTTTGGCTACAGTTTTTCTACAGATGAAAGGCAGGCAGGGGATGTTGGGGTGGGGCAGGACCACAGTGTCCTTCCCATGATTTCTTAAATAAATGCGCGGTCCGTTACACAGACGGCCCTCGACCTCTCAGGTTTATCGCGTGGTGACGGGTCTCCCGCTGCTGTTCTGTCCCCCACAGCTGTGTCCTGTGGGAACCCGGGGACGCCCGCCCACGGCAGGATCGTCAGCAGCGACGGCATGCTGTTCTCAAGCTCCGTGGTCTACACGTGCTGGGACGGCTACAGGACCTCAGGGCTGACCACGCGCCACTGCACCGCCAACGGAACCTGGACCGGCACGGCCCCCGACTGCACGCGTGAGTGGCCGCCGGCCTGGCCAGGCCCAGGTCCCCACAGCGACTCACACTGGACTGGGAGAAGGAGCTGATTTTACAGAGGCTGTATTGTTTAATCCCTAGGGAAAAAGGGATTATATCACATGTATGTTTGCTAATAGGACCACTTTCTAAGCACTTCTAGATTTTTCTTCACTTTCTTATTTATATGGTTAAAAATGCTTTGCCTGACTGGTTGGGTTGGATATTATAAAACTGAGTTCAGAAAAGGCAAGGTTCATTCTCTCTGTAGACCAGTTAGTCTGAAAGGAAATGGTGCAGGAGCCTGGTTCTCTCTGATCTCAGCCTGTGTCTCTGTCCTTGACTTTGTGGGGTGACCCCTCACGACATCTAGTTAAGGACAGAACGCGGATGACAGCTGTCATCCACACAGCCAATCACCAGTGGAGTAGAAATAAGCTGTTCCAAACATGCAGCCTCCTGACGGCTGGCCAGCGAAACTGTCCCCCAGAGAGAGGCTGGCATCGCTGTGCTCAGCCACGGCGTCATCGCTCTGAAAGCAGCTTAAGGAGAGTCCCTTAAACAGAAACCAGGAGTCATTCATCCCGTGATGATGCTGTATCTCTCTGTGTCTCTGTTCTCTGCTGGTTAGTCATCAGCTGTGGAGACCCAGGGACCCTGGCTAACGGCATCCAGTTCGGGACCGATTTCACCTTCAACAAGACGGTCAGCTACCAGTGTAACCCCGGCTACACCATGGAGCCCGCCACGTCCCCCACCATCCGCTGCACCAAGGACAGTGCCTGGAATCACAGCAAACCAACCTGCAAAGGTGAGTGCTGGGGCTTCTCTTGTGCGTCACTCACACGTGGAGACTCTTTATTGAGTTAACGTTTTACATCAGTTTGCAAGCATCCATGTAGACCTTCTATGTGCTCAGCATTCCTGTAAACTCATTCGCAAATATTAAATCACTTCCTTTTCTTACTACCTTAATCTTGGTTTTACAGCCCGGAGACTGACTCACAGAGAGTTGCAGTAAATTCTCGGGTCTCAGGTCAGGTCTTGGAGACATCGGGCTTCAGGGATGACTCTGGAGTCGGTGCTGTGAACCCAGTTCTGTCTCCGTGTGCGTGGCTGTGTTGAGTCTGTGGCCGTCATCACGGGGCTGGAGAGGCGGGTCAGAGCCGATCATCAGATAGGGCAGAACAGTGGCAGAGACTGCCAGTGTCCTGATGCCTGGTGGGGCTCGGGCGCTGAGACTAAGGAAGCCACATCACGAAGGGGGGGTACAGGAAGGTTCCCCACTTGGCCGGTGGACCTTCCAGGGAGAGAGTGAGCAGGCAGAAGGCGTCTAGGGGAGCAGAGGGGCTGGCGGACCACTGATCCAGGGCTGATCTGCAGGGTGAGCGTCTCCACCAGCTCCAGATCGAGCTGCAGGCCTTCTCAGCTGGGCAGGAGGGGCAGGGGCAGGAGAGGGCGTGGAGGCTGGCAGTGACCACACAGGAGAAAGGGGCGCCTTATCGTCGTTAGATGAGGAAGGGGGAAGAGCTGGGAGCTGGAGTAGCAGGAACCCTCAGGAGGAAGGTACGTCCTGTGTGGACAGTCTTGTGAGGTCAGAGGAGACCCCACCCCGAGGGCCCTGTTACGCCCTTCCGGCCTGGGCGGTTTCGGCGCATCCTGGTTTCCTCCCATCAGAGGGTGAGGAGCCCTGTCTCGTGTCCTTCTTTCCAGCTGCAGTTATTAACACCGTGCAGCTCTGTGGCAGGTGCTAAGAGGGTGTTAAATGCAGCTCACACAGTCCTGTCGGGAGCATTCGAGTCCAGTGAGCGTGTCCACGTGCTTATCCCTAGAATGTCTGATCTCTGGACTTCAGATACATTTGGGTAGATCTTGTTCCTCTGTTTAGTGTCTGTTGGATTAACAACCCTTCCACAGCCCTCACGGATGAGACCTGTCTTTTCTCCTGCTGGCCACCCTGCCCACTCCTCCCTGGAGCCACGTCACTCATCACCGTTCCCACCTGGGGGCCTTGAACCCGACATCAACCTGTCTAGACTGTTCCCCCAGTCTTCGCTAGGGGTTCTGCAGAAATCTCTGTTGAATGAGTGCACAGATGGAGGGAAGGTGGATGGCAAGCGGAGGGCCCGTGTCCAGCTTCCGGGCGTGCACGCATGGTTGGGTCTGTGTCTTTCTCACGTGAGAAGGTGTGAGCACCCGTGAGAAAGTGCAGGGGAGGAAATACAGCTGAGTCTCCTCTCCTGCCGCCTTCCGTGCCCACTGTCAGCGGCAAACCTCCTCCAGTGTGAAGCCTCTTGGATCTTCAGGGAGCTCTTAGACCAGGAGTCGCAGAACAGTGGCTGGAGTGGGCCAGGCAGACGCCAGCACCAGCGGGCACTCACTCCTGGGAAGAGTGTTCTCCCTCGAAGCCCGTGGATGAGACAGAGCCTGGCCAAGCGGTTTCTTACAGGGTCTTCTCTAACCACGCAAGTGTTAGGGCTCAGTTCTGCAGCAAGTGCATCAGCAGCCTATGTATGTCTTTTGGAAACTATATGCTATCTTTACATAAAGACTCTGGAGAAGGAAATGGCAACCCACTCCAGTCCTCTTGCCTGGAAAATCCCATGGATGGAGGAGCATGGTAGGCTGCAGTCCATGGGGTCGCAAAGAGTTGGACACGAGTGAGTGACTTCGCTTTCACTTTCATGACTTTCACTTCTTTCTTTTATATAAAGAAAAAAGTACAGATAAAGAAATTCTTGCCATCTGTTTATATAAATTCAAATGTTTGTACTCATGTCATAGGACCATGCTTCTGACTGAATTTGCCTCTGGTAACCATTGTAAGAAGACATCAGTGGAACAAAGTCTTTCTTTCTTGTCTTATAGACTGAGACTGTCTTATTTACTCCACCTTCTTTTATGGTGGGATATGCTTTGACCTTGCTTTGCTTTTATGGACTTGATCTAAATTAATGAGGAAATGTTAGAGAAAAGTTTTATTATTTTGATTTACTATCTTCTTCAATAATTTGTCTATTAAAAAATTCAGCCCCTTGTAGATGTGTTGCAACATGGGTGAAATTAAACTGTGAGGCCTTGGAGAGCGGTGTTGTGGTGGAAACTCCAGAGTGTTGAATCCTGTTTGCTCTCTGACAGCCATCACATGCGGCCAGCCTCCTCCGGTCCAGGATGGGAAGGTGGAAGGAACGGACTTCCGCTGGGGTGCCAGCATCAGCTACAGCTGCACCCACGGCTTCCAGCTCTCCCAGCCCGCCATCCTTTCCTGTGAAGGCCGAGGGGTCTGGAGAGGCGAGGTCCCCCAGTGCCTGCGTAAGTCCTCAGGAGCACAAACCACGGCACACAAACCTCGGGCTGCAGTCTGAGCAGGAGAGCCTGCGGGACTTGTAGCCAGGGTGCAAAAGGTTAAAGACTCCACGTTTGACACACGCTGCCCAAGGGCAGATTCTGTCCTTTTCTTCATCATTGATTCCTAAGGATTTAATGAGTGTATGTGCTTTGTGACCCATTGGACTATACCCCTCTAAGATCCTCTGTCCATGGGCTTCTCCAGACAGGAAGACCGGAGTGGGTTGCCATTTCCTTCTCTAGGGGATCTTCCCTACCCAGGGATTGAACGTGCGTCTCCTGCATATCAGGCTGATTTTTTTTTTTTTTTGCTTTTAATAAAACAGCCTTCTTTTATCTTTATTTTTTTATCTCTATCTACAATATATTGATAATTACAGAATTGTGATTCAAGCCTTATCTCTCACAAATACAAGTACCTTTTAGCTTGTAATAAATGTACAAGCTAATAAATGTAATATGTAATAAATGTACATATGGCATTCTCAGTTTTGTTTGCATTTTTATTTATTTATTTTTTATTTTTTTTTCATTTATTTTTATTAGTTGGAGGCTAATTACTTCACAACATTGCAGTGAGTTTTGTCATACATTGACATGAATCAAGCTGATTCTTTGCCCACCGGGCCTCCCAGGGCTTAATGGGAGGACTCAATGGAAAGCAGTTAGACAAGCTGAATAGACAAGCTCGCCCAGGGGCACAGGCTGTGCACTGACCTCCTGGTTGTCTTCTCCAGCTGTGTTCTGTGGGGACCCCGGCACCCCTGCGGAGGGGCGCCTCAGTGGCAAAAGCTTCACCTACAGATCCGAAGTCTTCTTCCAGTGCAAGTCCCCCTTCCTCCTGGTGGGGTCGTCCCGGAGAGTCTGCCAGGCAGACGGCACCTGGAGTGGCGTCCAGCCCACCTGCATTGGTAATGACGGCAAGACAGCCCTGGGGGTGGGGAGGGGGCGTTTCATTCTAAAGCTGGAGCATTTGTGGGCACACAGGTGATGCTCTCCTGGGAGATGTTCTGTGCAGCTGCTGACCAGCCATGCTGATGGCAGCCTCTTTTAAATCCTGCACGGAGTTTGGAGTTGACATGACAACTCATTTAAAAACAGCTCCTAGACTCTCTTACCCTGGCAGCCCCCTCTCTGCCCATGTCAGCTGACAACCGCGATCTTCAGGGGAAAGACCAGTTTGCTGAAGATCTCATTGTTGTCGTGGCACCAGAAGGGCCCCCACTTCAGTTCCTGACACCCTCTCCCCCAGCCCACCCCCGCCCCCAGTAAACCACCTGCTCTATCAGCCACGGCTGAAAGGGCTACAGGGTCACGCGTGCTCTGTTGACCTTCCAACATGAAGTGAAACTTACAAGTTAAAAGAGATTCTCTACGTGACCTCAACCCCTCCTTTTTAGACTAAATCTCTGTCTCATAGGAAGGGTTCAGGTAGAAATTATGCTGGTCGACAGTCACTGCGTCAGTCACACAGGAACCAGAATCCTCCCTGCTTCACTCCCAGCCTGCCTCCACCTTGCCCTGCAGACTGAGCGAGTGATGGCCGGCCGCTGCGCGCCCTGCTTCCCCGAGCGTGAGAGGGCCTTCTGCACACACGCAGCAAGCAGGGAATGACTTCTATCCCTGGTTGTTTTCTGAGAAAGTAAATATCTACTTAAAAATACGGTGTCAACAATGATTTCTTTGGAACACAGCTTTTTATAATTAAAGTTTACTGCCATTGGGCTAAAACTATTGCTTTACTTTAGCTATTTCTGAAAAACTAAAAAAAAAAAAATGTTTTCTTCTCTTCCCAATAGGTTAGTTCCTCTTGAAAGCATACTTTTTTGAAGTTATCCATTTTGTTTTCCCATCAGCAGCTGGAGAGCTACCATACTGAAGCCACTCATTGATTGCTGAAGTAGTACAATTTTTTAGAAAAATATCACTGTTGGTCTACCATATGCTTTTATTTTGAAGCATTAAGTATATTCCCGATTTTGAAATCTTGAGGAAAATTAATTTAAGACATTTAGAATAATAGATGGCCAAATGAAATGTTAATTAATTAAATCAATAAAAAATAAAAGGTCATAATAGGTAATTATTGAACATTATATATCATTAACCAACCAACAGAGTATGTCAGTAGAGAAAAATTAAACCAAAGCACAAAAGAATGTGCTTCTTTTGACATAGAAAATAATATTCAGAGCAATTTAGAGTCTGATAAAGCACTAAAGATTAACATCTAAAGAAGTCAGAAAAAAGATGAAAATAGAAATTTAATTTTTAACTCTCTTGCAAATCATCTTGCCACTTGTCAAAACACAATTTTCTGAATTCTGAAAGGCCTTTTATTTATTTATTTTTTGATCTTTTTTTTGAAAGGCCTTTTAGTAAAAATATTAGAATTCCTGTAATAACCATATCTGGTTCTGATTTTTTTTTTTAATTGTGAGTTTCAGATCCTGCTCATAACACCTGCCCAGACCCTGGTACTCCATAGTTTGGAATACAGAAGAGTTCAGGAGGATATGAGGTATTCCATTTTTATTTTACTACGTTTTTCTCTATGTGAAAGTGTAATTGATACTTAAATACACACGTGTTTATGTAGCATATCTGACTCATCTTACATTTGCCCAAATATAGTCCATTCAGAAAGAGGATTTCTGCTTATTATGTTAACTGTTAGAACTGAGACAACTGTATCTGATTCACATAGAATTGCTATATAAATTTCTATTTGAAAGCATATATATTTCTTTCTGTCTGCTGAATTGACATAGCAAATCTCAAATGAGGGTGATTTGCCACTGATTCACATAAGAGGACTCCACTTGGTGACCAGATTGAATAGGTGAATAACATTAAATCCCAGAGACAAAAACAGAAGAAGAAAATGCCTTCAAAGTATATTAACACTTATGTTAACACAAATATCAGAGAAACACCTAAAAATGGAAAGTAAAGAAGCTTGAAATAAAATGTTTCAACCATCTTAAGTAATTGAATGACTTCAGGTCCTCTGATCAGATAGCTTTGAAAACCAGAGCTAAACATACACACGACTTTCAAGTTACCGTTCCCATTCATTGAGAATAAAAGTCCCTTTTCTTCAGCTGCTTCTCCTCCTTTTTCCTGAAGTGCAAACTGTCCTCATTTGATTGCCCTGATGCCACACTGGCTCCTTCCTGACAGCCTCACTTCACTCTGCCAGGACAGCCTCACAGGTCCCCGGGTTAAATCTAGCGCACTTTATATAGGGTCTCATATGTGGCCTTACAGCTTCAGGTCATGTTTTCTGGCATATGCTGAACATATTCCAACACCAAAAAATACAAGATGTGGGCATTCTGACTAACTTACCATGAGAAACCCAAGTTGCGGTCACCCCTGGTTTCAGTGATCCCTAACTTGCCTGCATGTGGCCTGTAGGAAGTGAACCTTCATCATGATTGCTTTCAGTGATGCAGTCCTGCGATCTGCTGTGAGAAGCTAACCGGGAGGAGTGTCCCACCATTCCCCTTATGACAAAGTAGTTACACTACCCCAGATAACAGGCTGGACCCAAGGCAAGATTTACTAATCATTTAAAAACCCAGATGCCATCTTTTAAAGAGATGACTGAGACCATCAGAAGAATAGTTCTGGAGGATTCTACGACGGAGTCCTTATC